TGTATTTTAAACCTTACAGATAACCTTTTAGTAAACTAACAGCAGACATTATTGTAGTTACGAAGATCTGGTTTCACATTCGTAATTCATGTAACCACAAGAGTGCCCCCATCAGGTTCATTAGTTCAGCCATATTTAAGCTTTATACGTGCACAACATGCGCCAGGAGGCACGTGTACCTGAGTAAATGACGATCAAAGTATTCTTAATTTGTTATAATCAGGCATACATTGCCAAGGAGACTATGTCAACTGCTCTGTTATGTAAATAAAAGTCAAGTACTTTAATATTCAGGCTTCCTACCAGGGAAGGGAAGCACTGGGATAAGTAACTATATACTAATGCTAAAATAGAATAGGTATAGTGCCCTCCAAAGGCATTGGTGCAGTCAAACTATCACGTTTTCACAGTTCAGCAAATTGTATTTATGATGAAGTTAATATAAATGATAAGTACAACATAATAATGTTGTGGCTGAGGGCAGCTGAGTTTCTTTGAGGTTAGCACAGTTCTTAGTTCTCAGCAAAGTTACTTCATTCTGAAGGTCTGAGATAATGGGTGTTATTTTGCTGTACTTTGAGTAGGAAGCTGCTTCGGTGAGCTTTGACTGCAAAGGAGCAAGCAAAGGTAAATTCTATGCCAAAAAGCAGAGCCCAAAACACTATGTTTCTTCTATTTATTTTTCAGCTGTGAACCTTTACTTGCTACATTATTATCTTATATTTACACACCTGCCTTGGCCAAGAAGTGGATGATCAAAGGAGTTTTCCTAATAACTTATTTTGATTAATTAACTTCAGGGTCTTATCTGGAAATCCTGACGAGAATCCACAGGTTAAACACATCTCTTCTATTTTAGTAATGTCTTTTGTATTGAATAGAGAAAATTGTTAACATTCACCACCTCATTCCTTGAGAGAGGAAGATTTAGTTCTGGTCAGGATCCATTTTGTTTATTAGAATGCAGGTTCTCTTTCTTTGGCCTCTTAGATTAGAAAGATGGAATTCTGGGATTTTCCCTGTCTCTAGAAGGCAGGACTCTAAAACTCAGAGACCTGTGAATATCAGGTCATCACGTGTTGTACAATTGTCTCATTTATTTAGTAAATATTTGTCTAAGTTTGCAACTGATTTTTACTGTATTTTCAAACTATGCTGTAGAATAAAAGACAAATGAGCTGGGTAATACTTGTCGATCTCTGAGATGGAATTATGCAACTAAGGATCTTTATCATTTGCTTCCATAGCAAACTAGTGTGATCTGATGACCTGATTCTTACATTATAATTGCATAATTTAGAACATATAACCTCTTGTTACAACACACATTTTGTTTTGGAGTCCATCAATTTCAAGCGAGTATAATTATTTGGACACACTTTAGATACATTTCAGATTTATTTCAGAGAGTTTAAGTCAGTATTTGGTTATATATCTCTTTAGACAAGGCCTGCATGAAGTCTGCAACAAATTAAGCTCAATCATTTAATCATTTGAAATGTTTTGCTGTCGCTAATTTGAGTTATTCTCTATGCTCTGGGATGCTCTATTTTTTTTCAGAATGTAAAATGCATGCTCAGACTGAGGATAGACTTGGCACATCTAGATGTTCCACTTAATTCTTCTGATGACTTTCCTGATTGCATTGGCCATGGCCAAACCATACATCCCAAGTGAGGCACTGTCCTTTGGAGTATCAACAGTAACATCTTTCACACTTTAATCTTTCCATTACTTTAGTGAAGGCCCATCTTGATCTCATCTGGTCATGAAACCTTTGCCAAAACACATCTGACTCATTTTTGTACAGTAATAGTAACCCAATTCTGAAGCGTGGTGGAGTGGTAATATTACAGCTGGGACACGCACGAGCATATCCAAAACTGGCTCACACGTCTTTATTGATGATAACTAAAGACGGCAGCAGCAGAGTAAATTCAGAAACCTTTTGTGTGCTTATATAGAAAAAAAATGTTTCCATTCTTTTAGAGTGGCCCTTTGCCACATAGCATGACAATGACCCAAAACACAGCCAATGCAACCAAAGAGTTCATCACACAAAAAAAGTGGGAACTCCTACAGCGTCCTTCAGGCTTCGGATTTAAATCCAAAGGAACACATTGTAGCGCAAGTGATTGAGGTCGAGGGGGTGAACATGTTTTTGCATGCTTGCAATTGGCGAAAAATAAAACATTATAATGTACTTGTCGTTGATATTCATTTCATGCTCATAAATATAAATTGCTTGACTCTAAAGCACAGATAACTTTGCTGTCCCAATAGGATTTGGAGGCCACTGCACACACCACTGATCTCCAGGGCAACTCGGTTGCTTTGTGAATTGCAATGGACCAGTTCCTGGCCCTCTGTCATCACAACACATGACAAGTGACGCAAGAATGGAACCTTGAGTGTTTCCTGGTGGCTTCTTTCATGGTCTTCCTTCTGCGTCTCCAGGACGTGCACTTGCTCCAGCGTGGACCTCAGGGGTCCGCAGAGCTTGGTGTACTCCACCAGAGCCACCACCAAGGCCACCAGGGCCGCGGCCTCCTCTGAGCTGTACCGCGCCGCGGCGATGGTGATCTCGCCCCGCCGCGCGCCGCTCTCCGCCGGGAGCTTCCGCGCGGGAGCGATGCTCTGAGGGCTGGCGTCTGGAACAACAACAGAAGAGCTGCTGCTGAACGGACGAAGCTGAAAACGCTATTCTGTGACTGTGTTGCAGGCAAAATGGGCAATGGTGTAACTACTGAAAAGAGTAATCGACAATTTTCTAAAACAAAAGGTGAGAATTTTATTACAATTTATATATAACAATAAGGTTACGATTATTAAGCTTTTCTGTGGTTAAACACCGAGCAACCCTTCCAAATGAAGATCTTACGCGGAGCTGCGTTCTCCAGTAAGGACCCTTCTCCAGTAACTCCCAGGCTCCCTTCTGTCGTCTTTCCCAGATAAGACTCCACGCGCTCCAGCACATGGCTCGGCAGGCCGGCCTCTTGGCGAGCTACACTGCAGACACACAGACTCAGCATCTGCTGCACACTACTAGACACTGTCACATTGAGTGCATAACCATATTTTTTTCTGTTAAAAATGGAAACAACACAACATACTGTATAGTGGACACTCCCATTGACTGGGAAATGGCGATGTACTGTATATACCCCTTCATCTCACAGTCTCTTCAAACACTAAAACTACACAGTAGGTAGGACAAAGAGAACATTCATGTTGTGAGAGAAAAATCAGGATGGCTAGAGGGAGAAGACCAGGGCATCAGCTGAAACACTGCTGTACTTGAATAGGGTACAGGGTACTACTGCTTGAATGGGGCCCTAGATATTTTGGGAATTTTAGCAATCAGTTACGCAGAACATCAGTTTTCACATCTCATTTGAAAGACAGCACAGTTGTCTCATTTACCACTCTCTGGATACAAGACAGAAGGTATTCAGGCCATCGATCATCTGGAATGATGTCAGTAGCGAATGTATTGAAGTTGAAGTGAAGTTAAAAGCAATAAGTCAGCTAGATTATTTGAAATTAATTATTTTAATGAAGTAAGAAACTTACTTCTGTAACATGTCGACAAACTTGCTGCTGTCACCAACATGACTTTGTAATGCTTTCCACCACGATCGGTCAACCTTATCATTGCTGCTCTTCCCAAATCCTGGAAATAAAAAATAAGAATTTGCACGTCTGATCATTTTCAAATTAAATTCTCCTCAGATTAAAATAGAGACATTTGAAGATACAACTAACGGTATTGTTTCTCTCTTCTCTTCGCAATGTTAACGGCTGTGATAGTGCATACATACAGTGTCATGCAAAATTATTCAGTCACTTGTAATGCATGCATACACAAAATGAGGCAATCACATTTTTAAACTTGAAAAAATTTATTCAAAACCTTATTGCACAAACTGAAAGCTAAGGGTAAGATGAGTTGTCTTACACAGTATGAGGGATGCTTAAGATAAATATGAAGGGATGTGTTTGTGTTCAATACATAGAGATAATTACTGCAATGATTGTGATTAGGAATAACTGGATGAGACTGATTTGTCATTGTTATCCCTCCTGAACCTCAGTTAATTACTTCCATTTATTGCTGTTAAATGATACAAGTAACTGAATCAAGGGACGCACTTACTTTTTCACAAAAATATTGAATGCTGCCTGATATAAAATAAAATAATAATGACAAAGAAGATGTCAATAGATTTGTGTATTTGTCCAATGTGGTTAGTCTGATCTCCCGTTAGCACTTGGTGAGGACCAGGTGAAAGTCAAATGTAATAACTGACACATGCCTTAGAGCTGAAAGAACTAAGAGATTTGGGTTAGCTGGGTTTTTATTTAAGCATGAGAGGTTGCAATGGGTACCTGAAAGCTCAAAGTGAGGATTTTGGAAGGCAGTTTAAAAATTACAACCTGGATAGTTGATCAACCATTTTAATCTGGATTTCTCATTGTCATTGAAATCCCGAGCTGTAGTCATGAGAAGAATCTGCATGGTTGTGGAGGCAAGAGAACTATATAAAGGGTTCATTTGTTGATAAGGTTACTAGAGAGATCGGGGCAAATCTGTGCACACTTTTTCACGTTCGATTTGAGCAGCGCTTCAGCCTGTCTAAATACAGAGCTGAGACAGGAGCAAAAGAGAGGCAAAATACCGGACGTTCAGGGAGAACGCCCATGAGCTCACATCACTTTTCGCAAGATTCTCGTGGTAGAAGGTTAAGAGCTGTCTCTCGGTTATAATGGTTAGATGGGGAAATTTTATGATTTTAGTCAGATGGGCTCAGAAGAGAAGACTGTGAGGACAGCAGTTTGCTGTGGTGGAAGGTTTCCTGTCAACAACTGAGAGGATATTGTAATGCAGTAGAAGACTCAGCTTCTGATTAAGGTCCCTGGCAAAAACAGGATCGACTGAGAAGTTTTTACACTGCTATTGCCATTTGTTAAAGATTTGAGGTTAAATATGTTCTTTCTACTAGCAGTGGTTAGTTACAAATTTACTTACTGAAGGTTGCTGGTAGTGGTATATTGAAGACAAATATACCCCTCCATTGCAATGCATGTTTTCCACATGTAACAGGACTATGATTCTGAAGGACAGAGCATGAGATACGGTACCTCTGGCTGGCCATCTCCTGGCAGTCCTTGCTCCACGTGATGACTTTTGGGAATGTCCTGCCTCAGGAGTTTCTCCTGGATGTTTCAGTCTGGGTGTCTCACGTTCAGTGTCAGCTGGGCAGGGAATCAAGTCCAGCATCACCAGCACCATTTCCATTACCTGGCAAGAAATGTGACCAGCAAAACAGCAAATCAGGAGTGATTAACTCAACTATGTTGACAGAAAAGGTTAAGAAATTGTATCCAGGCCATTGCTTACAGTAAGTATAAATATTCAAGTAAATGTTATACACTACAAAAGTAAATATGATTAAAACATAATTTAACCATGTAGATAGATTGCATTGATATACAAAATGGTTTGTTTCGTAAGAGAGCAGAGTAATTAAGGCTGCTGGTGGGAATTCAATTACACACATTTAATGTACTCATTTTGTATACTTTAAAACACAATGATTGTGTACTCTTAACATAAGTTTTATTTTGTTTTGTTTAATGTTCAGTGTTTCCGAACTAACAACTGGCATTTTGGGAACAGTGAATATCAAAAACAAAAAATGTTTGTACCTGAGCCAAAAGAAATGGCGGATTCTGGCAACGACTGACCCTCTCAATGCAGCTCCTGTCCACTTTATTACACCAGTGCATCACCTGCAGATTGTGTTCAATTGCAGAAAGTGATAGCATACATTATGTTAATTGCAGGGCAATTGCAGTGAACCAGACACTAACCAGGCAGACAGTGTGCAAGGCAGACAACACCCTAAACGTGATCCAGTCCACTGCAGGGCACAGTTTCATAGCTCACTACTAAGAGATGTCAATTAACCTAGGCAGACCTTGGGAATGTGGGAGGAAACCAGAACACCTGGAGAAAAAGGTGCAGATACGAGGTGAACCTGCAAACCGCACACTGAAGACCCCCCCCGCCCAGGTTCGAACAGAATCCTGGACACAAGAGCTTTGAGGCAGCAGCTCTGACTGTGATGTCCCTGCACCACTACACATCTACCTCCCATGTGAAACAAAGCAGTTCAAATTTTAAATGTTTGACATGAAATGAAACAGATATTTTAGTGCAGGACTTAAGTGCTTTGCAACATGTAGGTTTTAAAGAGTCGAAAGAAAATGATGTATGCATCATTTGCAAATAAAATGTTTTTTTTTCTTATCTTTTCTAGTGATTGTAATGTTTGCACCTGATTAAGTGCTGTTTTTCATGCTCCCGTCCCATCATTGCCCATGGTCAAACACTGAACTAATGTTCCAATCTGCCCGTTCCTGACAGAACGTGGTCAGGCAGGTGGTCAATACTACCGGCACTAAATTAACAGCAGTTCTCTCGTTCCCAGCAGGGTATCTATTCCAGTTCTGGGGCCATTAGAGTGCTCAGTCTTGGCTTTTTAGCCTGGAGCCTGTTTCTCCTGTGCTTGGATTATACCTCTTGTGTGTGGATTTTCTCCCGGACCTGACTCCCTCCTTGCAGGCCCCCCGAGAGCTCAGATGAGACCCGGGCCATTCCACACCGTGGGCCCCCCTCATTGTTTGGGAAGAGGGGTTAAAAAATATTTAAATGTAAAGAACGGCATGCTGGGAAGATGAAGGCGGGCATTTTGAAACTCCTAAAGAATAGGTAGATTCAGCACTGAAAGGGGGATATTTCTTCACAGCTGTGGACTTTAGTCAAGAATCACAGTATATGGTCAAAGTTCCAAATTCGCCTCAAGTCGAGAAACACAGCCAAAGGGGTTAACGTGGAGGATCATGCACCTAGGCTGAGGCGAGGCCCCCCTGTGAGGTCAGGCCCGGCTAAATGGCCCTGCTGGCCCCCCCCTCTCGTAGGGCCTGCCTCCTTGTTCCCTGGACCTCAATCTTTGGATTCTCCCTGTGTTTGATGCGTCTCCCTGTTTTGACCTGGAGCGCCCCACTTTGTGAACCCTCCCCAGTGCTACGATGTCTTGGCTGTTCTGGATGTCCCCCTTCCCATCTTTCCCTGGTGTTGTGCCTGTGGGACTGTTACGTGGCTGTCTGGCTGTGCAGTTGCATCTCTGCCTGCCTGCCTGCTTGCACTCTTGGGGCCAGCAGATGACTGCGATGTGCTCTGCCTAGCTCAGTGCTTGTCTTCTCCTGCATCAGGATCCTTCTGCTGACCTGGACCACTGCCCATTTCAGGTTTGTTGAGTGGTCCATTACAGTGATGTTTTAAAATAAAACATATGTACATATACTGTATTTGTCAACTGCCTACCTACATTCTGTCAGTGTTCACCAACAATAAAAGTAGATACTTGAATGAGTGGATAGTGAACATGGCAAAATAACACAATCTATACAGTTTTTAAGATCTATATATACTGTATATAACTTGGTCAAAATAAGGGGTCTATATTCTGGCATTGCTGTAGTTAATAAAGGTCTTTTACCAAAACCTCATTCTCAAGACACTGCAAACTCCCTAGCACCAGCACCTGAGTTTTGGCATGGGTGAGTCTATTTCTTGCTTCTTCCATCTCATTTCTTGCCATTCTGAGATCTTCATCCAGCTGACTTAAATGAGACTTGGTGTTTACCTCCTTCATTTGAAAAAATGCTTCGTCATACTGGTCAAATTCATCTGAAAAAGAGCAAAATGTACTCAGACACGTCATTGTGTTCTGACTTCGCAAGTACACAGGATGTGATCGGATCCTGGCAGGGACAGAGCAGAGCTGCACTCATCACACAGCTACAGTATGATAGGTACAGTACAGGTACATGAGAGGATTGGTACACGTAAAGCCCACACTCGCAAGACCTACCCTCACTATCTTTCAGCAGAGCCTCCATTTCAATCTCCTCAGATCCACTTTCTGCCTGTGCTAGGAACACCTTCAGGCTCTCTGCACCTATTCCTGTAGTAGTACAGATAAAGAGCGGCGATTATTGTGCTTTAAAGAATATTCCCATGGGGCAACATTAGTCAAGTATTTCCATATGAAAATAAAATGACCGGAATTATTAAAAGGTCATCTGTGTTACAGTTTTACTTTTCTATTTTCAGCGAGACAGATGTGGCATGAATTGTGTTTGGATGTCAAGAACTTCGTAGGTCATGTCTAGAGCATTTACATTTAATGACCTCTCAGTCAAAGGAGGGTAGCTATTCAAATGCACAGGAATGCTACAGAGTTTTAGAAATACGAACCATTCCTTAAAGCCTTTCTAACAGACTTTCATTAGAATAAAAATGCAGTTGTTTAGATGATGGCACTAAAAAATTAGACGTATCAAAATTGAAGACATCAAAATTAGTACTGTTACTCATCATCAAATGATACCCTATATCACTTCAAAAGTGATGGGTAGGCAATTACTTTACCCTATCTGAGTCTGTCACCCTTAGTAAACACATTGGTGTCTGCTAAGCTGAATATGTGTGACGGGACATAGAATATTTTGTGGCGCAAGGATGGAAACAGACTTTGGCAGTCTGGCAGTTTAACTCCTTGTGAATATTAGAACCAAAATCCCAATGGAGTACATCGTCCTTTGAAAGCAATAAGGATAAAAATTAATAAATTCCTGATCACATAAATCATCTGACAAAATAATGCTTTAGTGATGTCTCATACTGAGGAAGAAGTAACATTTTCCCCTTGATTTTCAACAGCACTCCAACGAGCAGTAGATCGTGTACTGTATAGGCCAAAATTAAGCATTGCTTGAGGAGGGGAAAAATCTAAAATAGTCAAACCGACTGGGGGAGAATGGAGAAGGCGATTCTTTAATCTCACCTAGTTTTTCTTTCAGCTGTTCTAGTGCAGAAGCTCTGGCTGACAGTTTATATAACAACTGGGAAGCAGTATATTTGGCATCTTCATACTGAACAACCAAGCGCTTTATAGAGTCTTGAGTATTCTGTGCGTCAATCCGGCTTTGTTCCAGAGTTTCCAACACATTTCTGAAAAATGTTTGGTTTCATAAAAGAGGTACTTTTTCAACTTTTCATTGACTAAAATACATAATGTAAGTGCATAGTTGTCTTGCTGTAATCTGGTACTCAGAATACTATAAATAATTGTCCTCATTAATGATTGAAAATAAATAGTAACCATTTTCAATTCAAAAGATTTCATTTCTCTACAGTACAAAAACATTTTGAATTTTGTGTCCAGCATAGCTTTCTTACTTTTTACATTCATTCAAACCTCAGTTTATCCTTGTTACTACAATATACTGTGATATGTCAGATTGCAGGAATGTAAGCACTGTTAATTTCTAGTGTTTCTAATTATTGCTGTTTTTCTGAAGTTTTTTTGTCAAGTAAATAAAGCTTTGATTTGCTCATCACTAAATGACTCACAGTGCAAAAAAAAAGTGAATATTTAAGAAACAGAATTTATTCTGCAGTGATCTGTCTACATTTTGAGGTAATTTCTTAAACCATAGAATATCATAGTATTTGGTAGGTGTGCTTAGATAACATTTAATGATAATTGCAGACAATGACTTAAATCTCTATGGATAGACTTGTTGTTTGTCAGACAGCGGCGTGAGGTGTTTCACCCCACCTCAGAAGAGTTCTTGTCTTCTCCAGCTCTGTGCACTTCAGGAAGTAGATGTGGCTGAATGTCTCCAGGTAGTGCCTGAAGGTGCTGGGTCCACAGAAAACCTTATTGTACACCGACTTGTGCTCATTCTTGAGAAGCACACTGATACTTTCCTGTGATTGGAATTACACTCATTTAAGTGATCATTCTTTGAATGTTTCATCCTAGAATATTTTTAATGATATTAAGACTTACACACACATACTGTACAAATACTGAATCTTAATAACATGGGTTGAGACTCCCTCCATGTACTGTATGTCAAATGAGCATTTTATCTTGCCTACAGGTTACAACTATTCCTCATGTCCCTTCATCATCTGACAGGAGCCTCGTTTCAGTATTTTGTACTCCTGTATAATTGACGTGCTTGTCAATTGTCGTATTTTACCTTCGCTTCTTTTCGACCACAACAAACCATTTTTAGTATGTGAGTTCTATTCATGTGAGGGGATACCTGCTTTAAACATGCCCAAAGGAAATGAGCCTTAAATTTGCGTGATTCAGAAAGAAATACCTTCACAATAGCCGCTGAGTAAGGCAGGTTTGGAACCGTCAGAGTTTCTGTTTTCGCAGTCTCTTTGCTGTCGCTCTCTGTCTTCTGTGCAGTGAAGGTGTCCAGAGTCAGTGTGGGCCCACAGTGCCCAGCCCAGGGAACCTGCTGGCACTCTGTCAACATCTGATGGTGGATGGAGGCCATGGCGCCGGCAACCGTCTTCCTACAGCAGACATTCAGGCTATTTCAACACTCAAGACTTTTCTAGACCATCGACAGAAAGGGACGCTGTTTGTGAACGTGGTGAGAGAAGCAGCTGTATTTTTTGGATGATCAGTCGTGGCACTCACCTTGTCCCTTCAGACATATTTTCAAGCACATCGCAGGTGCTGATGAAGTGCTCAGCTTCACGCAGAACAGCTTCTTCTTTCCAGTCACAAATCCACAGCACGTGGCACCCAGACAGGAATCCTGGATAGCGTCTGAGAGAAAATAAAATATAAGCACTTGAGTGTTTGATGCAAAAAAAAGTTTAACTTTTCTATAAAGTATGGATTTTATTATCACGGCTATAGTTCATGTGAGCCTTCATAGAGCTTATAACAAGTTTGGAAGGAAGGTAAGATTTAATCTCGCACACTTACAGTTGTGCTCTTAGTAAGTCACATCAAATACTTTATATATTTCATTTCTTTTGTTGCATTCATTAGTGTTTAACCCAAACCATTAACAATGTAAATTGAACATTACTTTACTCAAACAGAGGAGCAGTGGCACATAATGAACCATTTGTCTGAGTCGGGTCTCCTGTTTGTCCCCCAAGCCCGTAGACATACTGTACTATGGGTGACAGGTCCTTCTCTTGCTACAGTATGTCCCTATGTTCTGGAGGTCTATCCCCAAGGATAGCAGAGACTCATCTACAGCACACTGAGTGCTTTCAAATTCAGACTCAAAATGTTCTTCTTCAGAAACACTTTTATTTAATTGGTGTCTGCATCTGCTCTTTAAATCTTCTACTGCATTTTTAACCCCTTGTATTTATTTGTGCTAATTGTGTTATCTTCAATCTTTGTTATCCATTTTTAACCGCGTTTTTTTTTTACTTTAACACAATGGAAACAAGAGTAAGCTCTGATCCGATGAGCATTTGTGTCTTGAAATCATATAGAAATATGGGAATTACCTACTTACTCAAACAGAACAAGTCCCAACTATATGGTGACTCTTTCCTTACTCTGCTAATATAAAACCAAACATCAATATGTAGTGAGTATTGTCTTACTCTACTTCCAGACAAGCAACGCATGTAGTGAATGTGTATAGTGAATGTTGTCTTAGGTTATTCCCACCAAAGCCCAATCCCTACTGATTTATGCCGGCATCACACTACGTGACTTTTCCTAGGATTTTCAGTCATATCCTTCATTTACAAAATCACAGCGAGTTGTAGAATCGCAGCGCACACACCCGTTTCCATCAGTTGTGTATTGTGACACCCCCAGCGACACAGTCATAGTTCTCTTAATAATCCCTACGACTCTCTGCAACTCGCTATGATAAACTCAAACAGGTTTGATTTTCTCGTAGTGAGTATCAAGTCGTAGGGGTGAGCTCTTGTGTCTGCGACAAGTCGACAGCCAATGAGTGGAAGTACAAGGCATACAATCAGCTGCAAGGAAAGAAGGAAAGCGCGTGTTTTGGACTGTGCAAATGGAGGAGAGGCTCGTCGTCCTTTGGAGCCAGCACAGATGTTTGTTCGATTTTTCGTTTTCATCGTTTCGTGTTTGTTTTATTTTCGTGCGGTGCTCCTCCTCTTATTCTGGTGTGCTCCGCGTTGATTGGCTGCTAAATTGGGGCGACCTCGCGGTACTTTCATGGCGCAATACAAGATTTGGAACCGTGATGAAATCGTGAGGGAATTGTGTCACCCCCTGCGATTCCTAGTCATGTCATTTGACAACCTCTAGGACAGAAAAGGCAGCGAGATTTAGCAACTGCAGTCGTTACATTTACGACTAGAAGAAAACTAGAGGTCGTGTTGAGTCTTGTAGTGTGACAAAGGCTTTACTCACACAGAAGCAGTCTTCAGCAAAGTGTGGTCTGGGGGAAGGCACATGATCACGTGAAGGTTGGACTTCACTCGAGAAGCAAGACATAAATTTGGATCTCGAGCAAAAGCAGGGTTTTGCGGAAGAGCAGGGTTGAGAACCTAGAAGAATTAAACGTGATCGGATTAGTGATCGTACTATAAAATGTTGGTTTATGAAAATTATAAGGGAAGCTTTTATTCCAGTTACCAAATATTAAAAGGGATCCATTACTATGAATGTTTCATAAGGGGAAGAAAAATCAGCGAATGAAATTTGTGGGTAACGTTTTTTCACCCGCAGAGAAACTACATATTTTAGATGTAATTTGCATGCAAATTTTAAATAAAATTAGAAATCAATAGAACCTGTCTAGGAAATATTTGTATAAAACCAGCAAGGTGACATTATAATTTCAACCTATCCTTTTTTTCACTGATACATTATAGGAACTAATGACAGGGTTTCAAATGTGCTCATTCAGTCCTGAATGTTGAGATGAGACAAAATAATAAACATCTGTTTTGTTCAAATTAATGCTGTATGGTGTCCTGACAGCCTAGGTAACAAGTCAGAATGTTATTTTTGCTTTGCAGGTCTGTTGTTGTGATGATTTAACTAATATATCAATGTTCTATCAAAGGTACAAAAGGCAATTTGAAAAAACAAACACCTGTAGTATGTCACGGATCTCCTCTGGAGTAAAGAGTGGCACATAGTCTCCACTGATGAGAATACTGTTGATAGCATCCAAATAAGACTCATCTGTCAGCTCCCGAGCCTTATAGAAAGAAAAACAAATTTATACTCAACTGATTTCTGGAATTTATTCAAGATCTGATTAAGTATACTGTATCTGTGTCTAAATGAAGAAATATTTGTTTGATATATCAATAACACCAATCAACAAATGCATTCTGCACAAAAAAAAAATGTAAACTCCAAAATCACCAGTGTGTGAATACTTGAGACAAATTTAAGTTAGTCAGAGACAGACTTGAAGAATGATATTAGTGCAAGGGGTCTGATTATGTCTGATTTCAATGAAATGCAGTGTGTGGTGTAGAATGAAGACAAGAGGTGTTCACCTAAAGTGACACGAAACTCACAGTCAGCAGTAAAGCTGCAGTCTTTCCTTCTGCTGTAAGTCGAACAGCAGATTTAAGGCTGCTGAAGAACTGAGCTGGCTGGGAGGCATCCAGGTTGTGAAGAGGGATGTGACTGACAAAGAGGGCAAGTTTCAGCAGTGTACGCAGATGGCTGCCTGGTGAACCCACGACAAGAAGGTTCCCGCTGTGGAAGAGAAACCATTTACAGTATTCCTATATCACCTTTATCTAGGTCTTTCTTTCATGCAGGATTATAACCTCTGTGCAATAAACACACACACAAAACATACCTGAAGGACCCCTACCTGTACTGATATACCAGGGCTCGGTGGATTCCCACCACATGGGCCAGTGTGTTCTCAGACAGCTGAATGTCCAGCACATGGTTCCCAAGTTCCTTGTTATACTGCTGAACATAAGACTGAACGCAGCTCTTCACCTCCTGGAATCCTTTCACTGCCTGTAACTGCACCTTGTGGAGAATCAGATGGCAGTGTGGGAAAACTCTAATGAATGTTTCCAGAACTTTGTTTTTTTTTTAAAAGATTTGATGTTTTTATAACTTCAATAATTGCACACAATTCAATACTCTAACCCACAAGAAAGCCGTAGAAATCTTTGCAAAACTGAACACAGTTATAAATATCGGTAAAATCTACCTTTACTTCCAATTCCGGTACCTCAGCAAGCCGATTGTTGACTGTCTTATCGAGTGGAAAAGTTACATAATGCTGCTGTAAGTCATATTGGTGCATACTGAATTCCTAAAAAAAGAACACATGCATTTACATTTCCAGGCACAGTTATCATAAAGTTCTTCTAATGTCAAAACAGCAGACTCAACAAAAAGTGCTCTGTTATTGTAGGATTTGTTGCTTTTTAATATTTCCTGTGGAGAGAGCAGGGTACCTGTTCAATGGTGCTCTTTAGCTGTTGTTGAAACCAGCTGAGATCAGCATGCCGACACAGTCTGTCTCCCACAATATGTTTGACTTCATGGTGCCATAGAGAAATAACTCCATCTGCGTTCTTCCGCTCCCCAGGAGATAAGATACAAAGGCTCTGACAAAAGGAAGCACATACTTTATATCACAGTGTTAACAAAATGAACAGGTTCTGCATCACTACAATGTGTCGGTTATGTCAAACAATTTATGGGCATTTAATGTTAGTGTTACCATATTGCACAGTAGATATTAGTAGGTTAAGATGACCACTATCCATAAACATCAGAAAGATTTGGATGTGTAAAACCAAGACAAAAATATTAGAGAAGGCTTCCTATAGAAAGAACATCAAGTGTATCATCCGCAGGTTGCGAAGTCGTCTTTACTCACCTCAAAAGCCCTGGTCATTTCTCTCAGGGAAAAAGCATAATGCTGCCTCCCAAGGTCTGTTGAAGGACGAAGGACTGTCTTAATAGACTCCAGGAGACTGCAAGAAGCTGACACGAGTGCTGAGTGCAAACTGTTTTCCAGTTGTTGTCCGTTGTTTTTTGCCATGTTAGCCTACAAAATATACATTTAAATGACTAATCCTTTTGAATAAATTGGGACCTCCCAATAGCAGAACCATCTCTCAGAAGACAAATGAGAACACATTCCTAGGCCACCTGGCTGAAGAGTTACTGGGGACTAACACTTTTGTTATTCCCCTGAGCAGACAAACTATTTAGTCTAGGAGTAGAACAAAAAACAAAGTCAAAACACTTTACCTGAAGTACAGTGAATACGACTTGATTGAGTTTATATCCTTCAGGGGGTGGGAGGCATAAAACAGCAAAGTGGCGCTAAAATGAGGAATTTTGGAAAAGTAGAAAGTTAATAAACAACAAAGCCTGAAATGTAGGTTTGGGAATTTAAATATTTTTTTTCTAAGATGGATGGTTATATGATATAACCTGTCAAAAAGACTAGCCAGTATGAGGTAGATGAGACACAACATATATTTATACTATATATATTAAATGTAATTAAAACTAATACAAAACATGAGTCAGGATTTGCACTTACCAATAGCCTTCTAGAAATAGTGTTTTCACTGAGGCTTTCAGGCAGTGACATGGTGGCCTGAACCACAACATCCTCAATTTGACGCTTTTCAAAAGGTTTGGTCAATTTGAACAGCACTTTATCATCCAATACCTGTCGTAACAGCTGTGCGGGGAAAAAAAACCGTTTACTTTCTCTTTTTATTGATTGATCTACATAAATAAACCTGTGCTTGTACTGTACTTTATAGTACTGCATAATGTACATGTGATGTACATAGAATGTATAACTACTAACAGACTTGGCTAACAAACTCAGATCTTCCTTAGAGCATTAAAATGTGCAGTATAATAGCATGAAAAAATAAAGGGCCGTGCACATATGGAAGAAAGCTACTGTACCTCACAACACTGCGTCTCGGGCAGATTGATGTCATCTATAAGTATCTGTAAGGTTTTACCATCTTTTGCGCCAAATAAGAAACCTGCAGCCAAAATGAATTGAACACCCTTATTCAGTTATAACATTTTTAACAAGGCTGATGAAAACAGAAAAAAAAATTTCTGCTGAATTACCAAGATGGCTTTCTAACAACATTTACTGCCGGCAGATCCACAGTACTGCACACAAGTAAAATAAATTACAAGTCACTGCTCTGATTGTTGACATACAGAATGTTGCATAAACATTTTTCGGCATGCTTATCTTTATACTTGAGCACAAGCTTTTTTTACTGTCAGTACAAAAAACTATATTAAATTAGAGTTAAAAGAACAGTAGATAAAAATCTACTATTGTATTACTAGTTTGATGGAAGTAAAGAAATGCTAAAGGTTTTTCAATCAGCTTTAATATCCAGGTCTTTGAATGGCCAGCTGATTATCTGCTAAAACATATTTTGCTCATGACTGACAATTTGCATTATTGCTTTTTTTACCTTGCCTGTGGACAATGCTCTGTTCAAACATTTCCTGAAGGTTTTTTGCTTTGGAGGATCCTGAGAATATCATTCTCTTTGTGAGAAAGTTGGTCTTTTCTGGGAAGAGAAGCAGAAAAAGCCAAAGATAAGCATTTGGTCAATGATGTATGATGATGGCTTTATATTTCAAATCCGATAAAAAAAACGATGGTTTTTGTATATAATTAAATCTTATCCACTTTGGCTTATACCTTGTGTGTTGTTAAAATCATTCAGTAATGCTGATTTCCCACAGCCACGGGATCCCACCAAGAGCACATTCTGGGAGGCCATATCTGTATATTCCAGAAAGATCCGTACTGCTAACTGAAAGACAAAAAACAGTACACTCTAAGGAGCATGGGAAAAGGGCAAAACGGTAAAGCTTTTGGTAACAAACGTATGTCACGCGGAATTTCCTGAATGATTTGTGGTAAAACACATCCCCAGTACGGATGGGGTGGCCAGCAACAAGGGCTGTTGGTTTCATGATTTACTTTAAAAGAACTGCCCCCTTAAAAATAATCATCTTGAGGCTGTCGAGAATACAAGACAGGAACAGGTTTGCAAAACAGATACCAAAATCTCAAATTATCTCTTTTGACGCCAACAGAATACTCTGTAAATCAACGTAAATATTTGTTGAAATCACCTTTAAAAATATATTTCTAAAGAATAATCCTATCTTATTGAAAATCACTCAAATCTAATACGCATTTCACACCAGTAATGCAGTCTTTCTTTTAGTTCATGCCACACATTCCACAGTATTAGAGTCTTAGCTTACTGTGTCGATGGTTTCCACAAACACCTCCCCGAGTCCATCGGGGGAGCTCAAGGAGCTGTGTTGGGACATACGAGACTGCCAGGGGTCCCACTCGCCAGACTCATCCACGTAGTAATCAAACACCGAGATCTCATCGTCACAGTCAGGCAAGCTATGGGGGAGGAGGTATGAAATGCATGTAATACCGACGGATTTACTTCTCATCAATAAGCACAGTTCTGGTGGACCCACTCACTTTGCAGTGCAGGCCTTCAGAATTTCACCGAACTTCTTCTTCTCGTTGCTTTTCAGCAACCCTCCGACCAGCCAGATGAGACAGAACAGAAAGAGCCGCTCGATATGTAGAGGTCCTCCCAGACTCTGGGCCTTGTCATTCAGCATAGCCTGCAGAAGGCTGGTGATTGTCTGAAAGAGGCCAACTTCTGTCAGGGGAACCGGGAGCCTAAACAGGAGATAAAAATACAACTTTAACAAAAGACTATGGCACAGTCCTTTTTAAACCAGTGCTTAAACTATTTATTCTTCCATCCGTCCATTTCCTAACTGCCTTATCCAATCCAGGGTGCGGGGGTGCCGCAGCCTAACCTGGGAGACCAAGGACAGGATGACAGTCCATCACAAGACACAGACACACACAGACACACTCTCCCTGGGGCCAATTTCTCCAGAAGCCAACTACCAGCATGTCTTTGGACTGTGGAGAGGAAACCGGATCACCTTGAGGAAACCCACATGAACATGAGCAGAGCATACAGTACACACTTCACACATACAACACCCCAGGAAGTGAACTGAGGGCCCCAGCACCGAGAGGCAGCAATGCTGTCCACTGTACCACTGTACTGCCCACTTACTCTTCTGAATGTGTATTCCATTTTCAAAACAACCTGGAATGAGGTTATCAAATCTGGACCTTTTTACAACTGTGTCATTGTGGTGTGAATCAAATGGAAACCCCATGAGCAATTGTAGTGACATCTGTCTAAGAAATGTATTTATCATTTTTTAGCATACAGTGGTAGAGGAAAAAAAATGTCTAAAGTGGAAGAGACTAATAATGAAGGGTTATAGCTTTCAGGTAAATGATGAAGGCGATAAGGTAATAAGGTAATAATGTCTTTTAACAAGGAATAGAGTGTATCATCATTCAGAGTCCGTGATGTCTGTTAAACATTTGGTTAAAGGAACCATATGACACAAGTGGGAAGAACACGAAAGTGCACTTAAAGCCATGTACAGGGGAGACACTTCTAGGAAAGAAGTTGTGGGAGTATGTTACCCATGTTACTCATGTTGTTGAAGTGAATACTCTTGTTTCTTTCAGGAAACAGTTGGATGAGATTCTCTGATCAATTAACTCCCAGCAGCTGTGACAGGCTGTCCCATTAAAGGACTGCAGTGACTGCAGATCTGTCACTAGAGGGGGTCAAAATGGCCTCAAAAGACAGATCTTCATAAGTCATTCACTCAAGTAGGTTCACACCTACTGTAAATCGAGTAACTGGTGAATTGGTTAATTGTTTTTGAAGTGTTTTGATTCTCCTTTATGGATCATTCTTATGTTTTGTTTATATACCAGAATGGTAGATAATGAAAAAGGAGGAGTATGAGGGGTGTCTTCTGTGCTTGCTTTATTGTTAGGCACATTAAAAGTTAGTACGGCTAAGATTTATTTTTGTATTTTGTCAGTGTATTTCTGTTACAGCATCTTTAAAATAAAACTAGAAAATATTCAGGACAATTGTAACATCCTAATTTGGGGTATTGCATGCATAAGAGGCAATGCTACTTCCAGCAGGAAATGTTTTCATGTAGTGGTTGTCAGGACAACCAGCAGGTTGTTTCAGAGGATCCTGTGTGTACAGTAGCTATGAATTCTGCGGGATGCAGAGGCACTCAATCCAAAATCGGAATCCAGAAGCAAGGTCGAGAGAAGTTAGGGACCCGTTAACAAGAAAGAGCCGAGACAAACCGAGGAGACAATCTGAAAGGGGAAATCCGAGAGAGGAGATCAAATGGGGAAAAGTTAGGTAAAAAAAACGGGAAATCCAACAAGTTGAAAAAGCACCAGAGAACTCTCAATAGTGAGCACCGGAACTTTAAAAGCCAAAGGGAGAGGGACGTGGTTGGATAATTGGTCCGGAAGTGAGAGTCTGTGAAATCTGGTCCCTGTGAGAGTGTGATGGGTTCAGTAGGAATGAGATCGTGAGTGGAGAGGAGGTGGGAGCAGGAGAGAAGCAGTGTCAACACTCGCGTGGTGTGAAGTCAAGGCAGGTAAAGAGAGGTGTAAAGTTAAAACCTGCAAATGAATAGAGAGAGCCTGGCTTTACTGGTTTTTAACTTCACCTACAACCCCATCTAACAATACAAGAGATCCTAACCCTAACAACCCCTTTCCTAACGAAACCCTTACAGACACAGAATATACTCATGAAACCACACCCTAACTTTCACAGAATATTCTCATGGGACCTAGGAAATCTTCCTTCATCTGGGAGAAGGGAGAAGGGTAAGGATGAGAATTAACTTTATACACACAGTTGAACAGCCTGTGTAAGGGCAACTGGAAATGATTCACTGTGAATCTCTCCAAGATGCTGAAATGCCACTTTACAGTGGAAAAATATAGAATAGAAATTAAAGCATAAATAATTCTTACTTGACATCATGAAGAACAAAATTAAATATCGGATCCAATGTACTGTTGAAAGCCTGGGATAAAACCTATGGAAAGATGAAACAGCAATATTCAACTTAGTCTTTTACAGCTTTATTGTAATACTGTCTGTTATATTTAAAGGAATAGTAGTAACAATATTTATCATTTCCATGCCCTGGCCTCAGCAACTCCACTGGCCACAGCTTCTTCTGGTGTTTATGGTTTTAAATAGACAAGAAAGCACACGACTAACAAATAATAGCATGCTGCACATGTTATAATACAGATTATGCAATCACATACTGTACATTTGTTATTCCAATATGTTATGCTTACCTTGTTTTCTTGTTCATTTCTTTGTGCTAGCCATATTTTGGCTAGTGGTCTCCATCCAGTTGTGTCGCTGTCGACATATATTATACCCTGTAGAAACAGGCAGAAACACAAAGGAAACAAATATTTTTTTAAAAAGAAATTCAGGACTATGTTACAGAGTTTCAAGCCTTCACTTTGCCTAAATTTGTCTCCCCGATTTTTTTATCCTTAAATTAGGTACTGCATGCTAGTCTTTTTGGATGTGCCATACCTAGAGATTGTGCCTCTAGGTATGGTTTTGAACATTTTGTTTTTGGTTATAAACTGAAAGCATGCATGTATATTTCTGCGTTGATGCTTACTGGGATTTTGCTAAGAAGAGCGTTTTTTTAATTATTTTGCTAAACGTACCGCTCTTGAAATTAAAGCTGGCGAGGCCAGTTCCAAATCTGAGGTCTCAAACAGAAGCCTGATGTTGCTCGTAAGAGGAAGATGTTCTCCGTTGCTCAGTTGCAAAACCTGGAAAAATATTATGCGTTCAATGTGCTCACATTAATCAACACACTCAGTTACAATAAAAATCTCATCCTCCCTTTCTATCCTGTTATTTCCATCTGTCCTATATTTTATTTCTAATGTTTGTTATTTTGGAATGACCCATTGTTTTATTCTAATACAGTCCAATGTCTCCCCTAAAATATCAGAGTTCTAAAGTTGTAAATTGAGTTTTAAATAAGCTAATTCTATCACTGAAACCCAGTCATCATCTTCTAATGGCATAACCAATAAATGAGATAAGCAAAGTCTGCACTAGATGGCTAAGTGAATGCTGTAAAATCATGCATTTTTCTCTGAAACAAAAGAAAATACTTTTTAGCTACAAAATAAAACTGGTACCTTTTTTGTCTCTAAAACACTACTGAAGTGGTCTGCCCAGGTCTGTGTAAGTGTCCCATCGAAGCAGAGCCAGCTAATACCACTTTGCTTGAAGAAAAAAAAAAGACGTAGGGCATGATTAAGAGGCTAATTCACTGTGAAACTCTAGTTCTCAACATTATATGGTGGAGCAGCTGTGTGTGACATTCCCTCCAGCACTCTGTCATGCTCTGGGCTGATTTAATGGACTCAGGCTCTGACCTGACATAAAAGACAGTAGAAAAATGATTTTGAAGCTGATAGTCTTATGTGATTTCTAATGTGTGATTCAATTTTTCCTACTGTATTACTATTATGATATAACTGAGGGGATCTGTGACAATTCAAGTGGAAACCTGCGGAGACCTTCATTGTTGATACTGAAAGAGCAAGACTTGTCTCTTCTTCATATTAACACACTTTCTATTCAACTAAACCTTTCAAATCCCACTTCTCATTTTGCCTCCTTTCATTGGTGAAGTTTCCCACAATACTATAAATTTTCCTTTCTTGTAGTTTCTACAGTATAAATGCTGTTTCTGTTTTCCTTCACATATCTAATACACAAGGGAGGGAAGTCGTAAAATAATTCTATATAGCCTTCCCTTTCTTTCAGGCAACTATCATTTTATGACAGACCAGACAGATAAAATTAAGGATGGCAGCTGTCATGCTCAAAATTAATTTAACGGCAAGGGTCTGTTGTGTTCAGATTTAACAATGATAAATGTTAGACTCCACTTTATAATCTCAAAACGGAACTATCATCTGAATTTCACTGTCACAAAGACAACTAATTAAAAGGTGTCTTTTGTCTTTTATGCGATTTAATAACAAATAGTCAAATTGACCAAAGCTGTTAAAAATACCCTTATAGCCTTTCTCCACGCATGGGTAACAATACTGTCTATCCAAACGTGAGGAGCCTGGAATCCAAAAAGCAGTGTGCTATCATCTGTTGCCTGGGGGTTAAATTTGACCAGTTTGTGACTGGGTAGCTCTTTCTGCTCTTCGCTGGGAATCCCTGGTGACTCTGCCTGCTGGTCTAAAGGCATCATATTGAGAGCCCGAATGAGAGTGGAGATACAGGAGCTCTTTCCTGCTCCTGGAGGTCCAGCCACAATGATGCCTGCAGAAAACACAGTAACATCCCACTGTTACCACTGGGCACTGGGCCTCTGTTCCCTCAGCGCTGCCACCCTTGTGATTAAAACACATTTTATGCATTGCACCTTGTTACAGATATGAACTTAAAAAAACATTCATCGGATCAAAAAAGGGTTTGTTTTCTGTCCATAAATACAGTATACGTTTCTACCATGGCTTGACAATTTTCTCACCTTGATGACACTGGGACAATCTATAGAGCTGCTTAACTTTCTTCACCCAGGGCACATGAGGAACAAGACTGATATTCTTAGCAGCTGTTAAAATAGCCCCGTCTAAGGCATTCTCAGACTGCAGACATCCCTCTGAGACAGACGCGTCCAGCTGACAACCAAACATGTCCTTGACAATCTGATCGAATACCATCACGTCCTGTGAAAACATGGTTAGAAACTGCAATACAAAGATACTGTACCTGACAAAAAAGCAAATTTCAGGGCCAAATTGAAAATCAGTATTTATAGCTTTAGAGTCACGGCCTTCATATGAATGATTTGGCGACTGTGATGCTGCTTTGCCCATTTTCTTTAAAAAAGTGGTAGCCATTGACTTACATCTCCCTTCATTCTGGGGCCTAAGCACTCGTGCAGCGTCTCTCCCAACAGAGCATGGTCCAGTCTGGCGGCAGACGTCATGGCATTGGAATGTGTAGCTACTGTCTTTCTGTCCATGCTCTGGACTGTTTTTAGACTAAGTGACGGACCTGGAAAAGAGAAGGTGGAAACAATGAGGAAGGACTTCTCTTCAAATATCATGAGGCCTCCTCAAAAGGTGAAAGAATTTCTCAGTTTCGCACTTTCGTATCTTCTGCATGATTCCCTATCATCTGTGTGTACAGTCCCTAATAATTCTATTTAAGTAGCACACTAATAACATTCCGAGACATGTTGTACTGTGCATCTTAAAAAGAATGAAGAGGCACACTGAAAAATAAATTCACAACTTAGATTGTCAGTGCAGGGACCAATTACAGCTACTGGCATTCATGAAGCAATCCATGCTTTACAATAGGAATGGTAGCAACAGACGACTATAAGAATCAAAAAGCACTGAACTAAGTATTAAGACCCTAGAGAGATACTTAAGAGATATTTCAGGGACTTTACTCAGAGCTGTGGCAGCGAAGGGCAGAGTAGAAGTGACACTGTTGGACCTGGAGGTTCTCTCTCCCCCCATCCGGACCTCGGTGTGGTTCTGCCTCCCCTCTGCCCTTACTCTCCTTTCAGCCTTCTTCTGAGCAGCTCTCTGAACCACTGACACCAGCGATGCCAGGCTGAAGAGGTGGTGCAGTCCCTCAGGGCTGAAAACCATGGAAGGCGAATATGTCAAATCACCCACAACCACACTGAGGAGTAGAGTCCGCCATGAAGGCCGCTTGTTAAACAGTCTCGTGCAGCTCAAACCTCAGTATCGGATGACCTAGGGAAAAGGGCGACTCACTAAAACGATTCTAACTGGCGCTGCGGTCAGGTTAATAGTAATGGAGAAAGAGTTCCTACTAACAGCTGCTCCTGGGTGAGCCGGGACACGAGCAGAATCCGGTGGGTTAGCATTCTGGGGCTCTTGAAGCCAAAGGCGGCGAGAGTTCCCCTGAGAATCACGGCGCGGTCATGGGCCGCCAGGGACACCGTGCGGAACAGGGCACGGACGTCGCTCGGGAGAGTTTCCCCCCCTGGCCTGCAGTGGGCCGTCACAAAAAGGCTGAGGCTTCTGTTTAACGTGACCTGTAGACAGACAAGAGGAGGAGAGAAGCTCCAGAGCTTGAAATGATACATCATACGCTGAAGAGCAAATGCGCCATGCAAAAATAAATCTATAAGGTACTTTAATTAAGTATCGTTTAGGGGATGCATCATATCAAATATGTGATTGATATTGAAGTCCATTTATCTTTTACTGTACATTAATTATTCATTACATACAGTAAGTGTTAACGATTACTATTGTCTCATGTTTTGGGGGACTGTTTTATGTGAAAGTCCTTTCAGTCACTACAACAATGACACTATAATTATTTGCAAATTTAATATTTAGATAGAGAATATAAAATACCTGAGATGGTTATAGCTTTGAAAATAGGACTTATTAATTATCCTATAAAAGGGAAATTTCTCTGTCAAATGCAAACTATATGCAAGAGTTTCATTAATCAGCAATGTTATTATAGAGTGGTCTATTAATGTTTATTCGAAAAATCTTAGAAAAGAAAGACACTCACCTCTTTCCCATCTCCCAAAACACAGGTATTTAGTTTTGCTTTAAGACAATCATATAATGTCTGGGAATTAAACATTACAGCAGAGACAGCTGATTTCTTCAGGAGGTGAAAATCATCAAAACAGACCCAGCATCCATCCTATCATAATAAAGACAGAGCTGGGTTAAGAAATCATTTTTACAGAGCACAGATGTGATGTTAATTGTGACGGTGAGGAATCAAATAATCAAAAAAAGGTATATAGTCGTGTTCTTCTATGTAAAATATACAGAACAATCCTTTTCCTTAGGAATTACTTTCTGAATGTTTTCGCATCAAACACATAAAACAATTTCTTTGCTTTAATAAAAAAAAAAGACATTATTTTTAATTTACCATAGCAGCTCCATGTAAAATCTTCGTAATAGATGCTGGATTTGAATGGTATGAACAGTGAAAGAGGAGAAGGAACTTCCCCAGGAGATGAGCAAAACCCTGTGAAAATCGAAAACATGTACACTCAGTATGAAAACTGCAGTTCCTGTGTTGTCAACCAGTGACACTGCTGTGTGAATGCAGTCTTACGAGGCTTTCTATAACCTAAAGAATTTTAAAATGAAGAGCCTCCTTTCTGTGTTTTTCAAAAATGTGTTTCATTACATACATTTGTATTACTAAGTCAACAGGAAAACATTTTGCTTCACTAAGAGTTGGAGTTATAGAAGTCAGTTATATATTTTTACTGCTCTTTTGTTCTCACTTACTGTACCTTCAAGGTCTCTGTCTTGCCTGTCCCATGATCGCCCAGAACTGCAGCACCTCCGAGGTTTTGCTGTGTCTGACAACAGTTTACAGAAAACATCGATGACGCAGTTAAAACATATATAATTGTTGTGACTGGTTGACAACCATGCTCTAGTGTGGTATAGCAGACTGAAGCTCAAACATTTCATGGTAAATAGAAAACACCGCTGAAAGTTATTGAAATACAGTACATCACACAAATGTTAACCAGCCCTCTATACATGTTAGTGGTATTCCCAATATCAGTTTCTCATTTCAAAATCCACATATACCACATGTCCACATGTATCTGCACAACCTTTTTCATACACTGTAGAGTGCTGAGCTAAAGCCTCTCCTTTTGAGGTATGTTTCACAAAGCCAAACTCATATACCGCAATTTTCTTGCATAAATCAAATAGATGGAATTCAACTGAAGACGTACTGTAACTAATTGGTATACTTACATATGACAATGCAAGAAAAGACTTCTCTGTTGCTGGAGTCATTATAACAGGTGCTTCAGCACCATAGAATTCATAGCCACATTCATACTGGGCGTTGTGTATACATATAACGTGTCTTTTATCATCTATCAAAGAGAAGAAGGGGTAAACAATGAGTAACTTTCTTACAAATGCAAAACCAGAAAAGAAGGTAACTGAAACACAAAGGTCTGCATTTTTAATATCATTA